CAGCGTTTCAAAACGCAAACAATGCATTTTAAATGCATTCGTTCAAATTGAGAACATTTCCATTTTTCATTTTAAATTATTTTTTAAAAGACAAACTTGCTTGCGTTTTTCAAAACTTTTTAAATTTTGAAGTGAAAAAAAAAATAAGAGTAAATTTTCAATAACCAGTGACGCATGGACGTCTCCTAATGGATCCTCATTCTGTTCAATTACACTACATTATATCAACCAAGAGTGGAAGATAATAAATATAATTTTGGATATGTTATCGTTCCCCCATCCACATACAGGAGACGAAATATCATCCCTTTTGATATCATCATTAAATGATTTTAAAATTAGTGATAAAATTATGTCTATCACTCATGATAACGGGTGCAATATTATCAAGGCTGTTGAAATAATTAAGAAATATAATGAAGTAAATTTTAAAGGCGTTTTATATGGGCATCGTTGTATGGCCCATATATTTAACCTTATTGTCAAAGAGGGTTTAATATATTTTGATGATAAATTATCCAATATAGAAAAGTTAGTTTCCAAATTACATATATCGCCAAAATTGTTACAGACATATCAATCTTTTATTGGGGCAACAAAAATACCTCTTCCCGTAAAGACAAGATGGAACAGCGTATATCTAATGCTAAAAGCCATTAATAAGGTATAAAATAAAAATATTTTTGTATATTATATCTAATTTTTTATATATATTTTTATAGAATGTCAATGCAATATTATATCTCAGCGACCTTGGATTAATTGAGACCGATTTGTCTTCAGAGAATTTTGATTTCTTCACTAATTTAAAAGAATTTCTAACTCCTTTTTATCAAATAACCGTAGAAATTAGCGCGCAATCCCCAACTATAGGGATGGCCATACTATTCTACAATGATATTCTGGAGACTTTGAAAAATCAGGAGATAGGCAATTCTGACGTTAAGAGAAGCTGCTTCATTAATGAAAAATAAATATGAAGAATATCGCCAATATATATTAACACCTCACAATTATGTTGCATCAATATTAGATCCCAGTATTAAAAATACACTTGTGGCTAATTTAAAGAAAGATGCAGCAGTTATGAATATGCCTATATTCAAAGATGTTTATGCAAAATATATCACAGAGCCATTTGATGAGTACTCATTCAATAATAATAACAATCCATCTAACCTTAAATCTATTTCATTACTACAGGGATTGAAAAAGAGGTATATTTGATTTTGATATAATTAATATAAATTATATATTCTGATTTTTCTTTTTTAAATTTTTCTCTTTAGAAAAGTATCATCAAATGGTGATAGTGATAATCAGATATTGACCTATCTTCAGGAACCTGTAGCGCCCGAAACAACAAATGTGCTAGATTGGTGGAGAGGGAATTCAGATAGATTTCCTCATTTAGCTACGATGGCGAAAGACTTTCTATGCCAACAAACAACTTCCGTGGCATCTGAAAGAACCCTTTCTCTTGCTGGAAATACTATTACGAAATTGAGGAACAGGATGGCTCCCTCCACCCTTAAACAATGCATTTCATTATCATCCTGGGATAGATATAATGGCTCTTCATGATGATATAAGCTAAAAAAATTTATGCATAGTTGTTATTTATTTTTCTAAATATATTTTAAAATAATTTTATATTTAAATATTTTTTAGGGATGGTATTATATGATGAAATCTATATCCACAACTACAAGCAGGATATATTCCTGAATCCTGATCCTGTTTATGATATTAGAAAAAATGGAAATATTAATTTTTAATATTGTATTTGTATTCTATTGTAATATTAATATATATATTTTATTTAATTCATCAAATTTTAAAAATAAATATATTTATACTTGTTCTTAAGTGACTTTAATGAATTAAATAAAAAAAATTTAATCAGCTTTAATTTAATACTCTTTAGCAATAGAGAGGTTTTTACAACCCTCCCCTCCCAATCTTCCTAGCAATTAGTTAGACCAAAGAACCTTGATGGATATATACCAATTGATTTTTAGGCACTACTAGCACCTTCCTCCTTTCTTTAGCCCTGAGTCTGGCACCTTCCTCCTTTCTTTAGCCCTGAGTCTGAAAATATTTAAATTTATTTAAATAAAAATTTTAATTTTTATATTAAATTTCATAGTATTTGTCTTCTTTCGTTTATTCTCAGTAAACTATAAATTTGGATTTTTTAAATTAAACCATAACTCGACCAGACATAAATTTTTTTATCCCGAAACTGACTTGCTTGCAGGGCTATATTATCTAACAATAAAAAAAACCCCGGATCTTAACCAAGGATCTGAAGGGTCCGACCACGGGTATGTGCTCCGAGCAGGCCTGAGCACAAAATTGGTTCGTAAATTTTACAACCAAGCAAATTAACAACACTACTTAAAACTGTTTTCCTAATGTATAAAAATTATTTTATATATTTTTCTACCAATGAAAAATCATTTCCTTCTTTAACAAAAATTAATATATACCTGAGAAATACTGTTGCTAAATGGCTCGATTTGAGCAGATTTTTAAAAACCAGAAAAATATTGTCTGCCTCGAGATTTCGCTAATAGATATCCAAACCTTGTACCATCTATGTGCAAAATCTTGCTTGCGTAATACTATTTTTGATAATACATTTAGTCACTTTAAAAATCGGCTTAAATTGAGGCGTTTAACTACATTATTAAGAAGCAGCGAATTCCTACGTATGCGCCTGCACGTACTGGTATCATTGAGACGATTATTAGATTGCAGAGAGATCAATACATGTATAGTCAGTTCCATGTCTTCTGAAAACTGGACCAGGGAATAAAGAATATTCCATCTATGCCTTTGATGTTTTGGAGGTTAGTTAACAATAAGGTGGGGGGCATAGATACTTTTTAAAGGCTTTGCGGATTGAAGTCATATTTTGGAAAATTTACAGTGTAATGGTAATTTCCTTTGGTATCTAAAATTCCGATAAATATTGGCATTCTAAAACCTATTAGTAATTTAAAGAGACTTGAAGACCCGGGTACACGAGCCGGGCTTAATTTTTTTAAAATATACCCACACCAGGACTAAATTTTTTGTTTCTAACGGGTCAAGCCAAATATTTTGTATTATAGATTGATATATCACCATCATTTACTTCTCATATACCAATTTCCAATTCAAAAATTTATATATCTCATTAGAATATTTGTAACTAGTTAATAGTAGAAATAAAAATTTTTTTTAAATTATTCAGTAATTATGATAATTTTGTTATCTGCAAAACAAACTGCATAGTGTCGATTTGTTATATCCTATTGGGCCAAAAAATTTCTTAAAACATATGTCTTAAAAAATATTTTTATATACCCTGGTCGGGCCGAGCCTGAAAATATAAAACTCGGGCCGACTAGCCGAAAATTTTAATAATAGGGTCAGGCCTCATTTTTGTGGGGTACTTCTGTAGTGCTTTGTTAATTAGAAATCAGAGGAATGGTCAAAATGGAGAGCTAGAAATACTGTTATATTTTTACCGAAACACCCTTCTTTTTTTTAAATTTGGTCAAAATTTTTAAATGACTTGTTAAAATTATTTAAAAGTTTTTTTTTAAATATAAATAAAATCATTGTATTATTTAATATGGCTAATGTTGTTAATTCGTCAAGTTCTTCTTATCACGGGCAAAAAGTTGTAGTCCAGTTTCCCGACAGAAAACTTTGAACAACCAAATTAGTAGCGCTATTTATTATTTTTAAGTAGGATATTTTTTTTGTTTACTATTAAAAAAAAATATTAAATTTATTTATTTGTAGGAAACATGGCGTCATATTGGGGAGTAAAACTTAAGAATAGAATATAATTTATTTTACAGCATCCGTTATTTTATTAAAAATTAAAACGGGGTAAATAAATTTATGCCCTCTTTAAATAGTCGACTAAATTAATCTAGTAATTTTGGTCGCTTGGAGTTGATGACGATTTTTCTACTAAAAATCCAACTTGACTTGTTGTTTTTAGTCGACTAAATTTAGTCATTTAACAAAACTAAATAAGGCTCATAAAATATTATTTCTTCTATGTGTTTTTGCTATTTAATTTCAAAAATTATGTGCCACCACAAAGAAATAATAAATTTATCAAAGATACCACTTTTCCACTATTACATGATTTTTTTTAAATTGCGGGATTTGATAAGAATTGGAAGTTATAATTTGTCAAGGTCAGTACATTTTTTTTTCTAGTCAGATTTTTGTAATGAATATGAGTTTCCTCTATTTAGATCAAATTTGATAAGATGTGGCACAGTTATAAGAATCTCCTTGATTTTATCGGAGGCCATTTAGCGTCTAATTTAATTCATTTTAATCGAAAAATTACCTGATCTTAACAAAAAATTATAAAGTATGGGCTATGGAATTAGGCTAGGATTATATTAAATGTTCTTATAATTTTTAAACCATTTATTTTTATTTTATAGAAGTTTAAAAATATATATATATATAAATAATATTCAGAGTTTAGGCATACACATTTCATAACCACAATATTGTTATAGTTTAATAGATTTTTCAACAATCAACTATTATTTGACCGAAAAATATAAGTTATAATTTATAAAATGAATTTAGAATTATTTTAATTGAATTCGATTAAGCATTCTAAAATAAAGGAAAGAGGGTAAAGATTAATAAAGAGAAGGATATAATTGCGTTATTGATTATTATTATACCGTCGGCCTAGAATTGGAGTGCTCCATTTGCGCAAATGTTTAAAATGTAAAAATCAACATTAAAGTTTAAAATCAAATATAGGAAAACCTTAGATCAATTTTGACAAAGCTATAACATTGGAAAAAATTAATATTTCTTAATCTAGTTTTTATTTTTATATATATTAAAAATAAATATTATCCACATCTAACTCAAAAATTTTAAAAATGTCGAGTGGAGCACTCCAATTCTAGACCGACCATACTATATTATTATTTTTATTTAAAATATTATATTTTTTATAGCAAACTCAGGAGACTCTAACGTAATTCAAATTGACCAGTGAAATATTGATTTATATACTATTAGAATAATATATTGTTGTATTTATATAAAGAAAAATATATTTTATACATTTTGTACCAAAATAATGCATTAATAATATATTACTACTACTACCATGTATATATTTAATTTTAGTAAAAGATAAATATTATAATGATCCCAATAGCTAATTAATTATCTAAAATGTATTATATATTTATAATAATAAAATAATTATAAACAAATAAAATGGCTGTTGATTCTCTCTTCTAATTTATTTACTAATAAATAATTATACCATATATCTATTATGACTCCCTAAAGTTATATTACACAAACAGGGTTGGACAGTGTATTCAAATAAAAATACACTTCAAAAAAAGAGTAATTGAATATAAATTAGACATTCACAATATGGGTGCTCTTTACCTCTGAAAATATTTATTCTAGTCTGAAAATTAACGAGCTATACTAAGCGTGCAATAATTATCCAGTACACCTAATAGAGAATAGCAAAAAAAATATTATTTCTAAAGCCTTTATTTTGTTGAAATGATATATTTTATTTTGCTTTAATTTTAATGATTAAATGGTCTGCTACTATGATCATTCATTCATAAATACGATTACCTTTTCCTACATTTTATTTTTATTATTATAAAGAAAATCACGAAACCTAAATCTTCATTATTACTTATTTTTCATAAGATATAATTTTTAGATTTTATAAAACCAGGAAACTTTAGTTAAAAAATATTGACCAGGTTAGTATTGAAATTTTTGCAATTTACAGACCTCAAATATAAATGCATTAGAATTTTTTTAATATAAAAACTAAATATGTCCAAAAAGAAATTCATGAAAAGTATTTAAATTTAAAATACAAATATTTTTTGGAAATTTATTTATATAGATATATATATACACAAAAGTAGTTATAATTTTATTGCATTTTCTATATGTGTATCGTATAATAAATTGTAATAGGATAAAATGCTCAATTTTTTTATTTTATGTTGGACGTGGGCAGCGTCTACATGACTAGATTTTCACTAATGGCAATTCGCCCCCAAGGGCGGCGATGTTTTTACACTATTAATTATACCTTTTTAATTATAAGGTAATCTTCTCATAAATTTTAAAAAGAATAATTTAAATTATTTTAGTTCTACAACCAACTCAAAATATTGTGTAAAAATTATTTTTTTTAGATCATGAATTCAATTAAAACCGCCTCATTTACAATAAAAGCATTATTATAGTATATTGTTTGGCATGAATATGAGTTTGCTGAGAATCTCTAACGCTTTTAAATGTAGAAAGTTTTATTTGAAAAATAATGTCTCAATGTTTGCAATATATAGATTTGGACGATTATCAGCAATATTATTGATTATAATGGGTAGTGTTGTTAAACGACTCGTTTTGAGCCTATTTTAAACGGCTAACTCAATATTTAATCCAGATAAATATTACACAAGCCTGAAGATTTTGCTTATAGAAGGAACAAAGGCTTAGGCATATATTATAGAAATCTCGAGGCTTAGGCAATATTTTTCTGGCTAAAATATTGAGTTAGAAGTTTTAAAAATCTACTCAAAACGAGCCGCTTAACACTAATAGGTCAATAATAAAAGTATTAATTTTTACAGCAATATATTTTGTCCTATTTCATCTAAAAAATTTAATAGATAACTTCCCAATAAATTTATCCTACCCTTCTTAAAGGCGCCTACCCCCTACTTCCCTCAAGAAAAATTAGATGCAAACTATTCCTATTCCCCATTCCTCCCACACTGCTCATATAGACGCTGGACGTAGATTGCATATAAAAAATTTAAATAATATTTTAAATCTATAGTCATATTTAATAATAAGAGATATCTTTTTTAATGTTAATACTGATACTCTAAATTATTCAAATGTAGGTTTCTCACGATACTACCCAACCCAATATAAATATACTACTCCACTTTATTGATATCCCTCCTACTCTTAGCTAAAATAAAAAAATTTAATTTAAAGAAATAATTATGAATACACAAATTTTATTGCAAAACCTTTATTTGTAAAACAAATTTAATAATGAAAAGATAAGTTGATTATATATTTGAAATAATATACGATTCAGAATCAATAGCCAAATTAATCAATATTTTCGCCTAGGTATTTTAAAATTTTGTTACGTAAACATTACATTTATAATGCGATTGAAGCGTCTGTTTAAAAGATCTTGCAAATTGGTAGCAATTTTAGCAATTTATATTGCCACTTCAATTTTAAAATGATGTGTTTAAAATAAAAATCTCAATGCAAGGCACAATTTGTAAGCACTGTCATCTAGGGACATGGAACATAACCTTCCGGGAACGGTTCTTTAAGTAAATTTATGGAATGGAACCAGCGGAACGTGTATTATGGAACGTTCCTGAAATTATGTATAAAATTCTTATTTATTTTAAAAATCAAAAAAATAAATTTTTAATTTAACAGATGCATATACTAAGTTCTTTTTATTTTTTAAATCCTTTATAAAAAAAACAATTTTCCAGGTGACTTTAAAAATCAGTGGACCAAATGTAGAATAAGGCTTCAAAAAATTAATTCCCCGTTATCACAAGACTTGATTTCAGCTCCAAACAAAAAGCAACGCTATTGAATTAATTAACTAGAACTTATTAGCTAAACCATTTATTTGCGAGATGAGAACATTAAAAATTTTAAGGATGAAGATTTAAATATATAAAGCAATTCGGATAAATCTTCTGAGGAATAAGATTATGAATCAGAAAAGTTTTAAGGTCCAAGGATGAAAAACATAGTAAAACTTACAAAGGTTGTAAAACGATTTCGATCAGCTCGTCTAGATAAATAAAAAAAATATGCTAGAATACTCTGAATCCAATAAAATAAAAAAACTCTATCCAGGATGAATTAACATAAATCGTATTAGGAACTCTAAGTAGCCAGGTAAGTGCTGAATGTTGTTTTTCGACATTCAAATTTATACTAACACCACATAGAACTATCATAAATGATGATCTTTTAGAAAATATATTACTTCGATGCAATAATTGATTCATTTAATGATTAAATGTGTAGATTATTAATTATATTTCTAAGAAAGTACCAAAAAGTGGAACAGAAGATGGGAAAATAAAAATACCCTTCTTCGTGCCTGATATTAACTGTTATAACTTCAGTTATTCTTTATTGTATACAACTAATAAGAATTAGTGATCTGCATCGAGAGTAATTAATCAAGCCCGGCCCGAAATTTTTTTAAAAAAGTATTGCCAGCCCAGCCCGAATTCGAAATTTTTTTAAACAGGCCCGAATTTATTTAAATATAGAAAATAATTTTTATAATTACTTAAAATAAAAGACATGTTATATAGCGTTTAGTTTCAATAAATTAAATCATAATTTTTTATTTTACATAAAAAATTCAATATAAAATTTCCAAGGTCAATATTTTTTAAAAAATATTAGGCCCAGATCGAACCCGATTATTTTAAATAGAATTAGGCCCAGGTCTAACTTTGTAGATCTCTAATAAGAATTTTGCATATTCTGGAATATCTATTTTTATTTAAGCTAATTTGTCTTCCATCAAATTTCTATTGCTACTTCTAAGCTCCTTAAATATTATATCTTTGAAATAGGTCTGAGTTGTGTGGAGCGACAAACTTATATATTTAATCTTTCAAGGTTTTTTTTGTAGTTTTAATGATATATACATTTTATTGGAATATGCAATTAGACTCATGTCCTAGTTAATAACTATTTTTTATTGAATATTTTAAACAGGTTCAAACCCCTAAGTATTTTTTATAGACTTAAGATTTGCAACCTTATAACAAATATAGGTTAATAATGATCTCACAAAATTAGATATTTATGGTAATCTCTAAGAAATTAAACTTAAGCATATGATTGTAAAAATGTCAAGACAATTTTTATTTTTAAAAAAAGTAAGAGATAAATAAATATAGTAAAATAGTGGGTATATCTATGCACAGGGTTGTGGGTTTACTATGTTAGTTAGAAAACTACACAATTTTTAAAGAAAATCTTAAATATTTGACATTGATAAAACTTTTAAAAAATTTACCCCAATATCTCCCACATTTTAAAAAATAAGACCTGCAAAAACACTATTTGCATGACAAGACAACTAAAATATTTTAACCTGGCTCAATATGACAGTCAGCTCCAGTATGTTAAGAAATTTTTTTTAGACCCAATTATACTTAAAATGTGGCCTGTAGGTCTGTGATAAATATAGTGTCTAATTCAAATAGTAAAAACCATTATTTAACATCTTTATTTGTTCCAATATTATTAAATCATTTCAACCTTTAAAACTATTCATAAAATTAGCAGAATATCACTAAAATTTGTTAACAAAACTGTATCTCAATGTATATATCTATTCCCAACTAAGCTTAAATATTTTTTTTAAAATTGACTCCTTTAAATAGTTAGTTTAAAGAATTACATAAAATAAACAAACTCAACCAATGTGAACATATTTTTTTTTAAAAACTAGCCAAAAACTCTTTACTCATTTCACAACTGGTCTGATAATTATAGATATTGATTAATAACATGATGAATGCTTTAATTTACTGAAATCAATAAATTGCAGAAAAAGATAAATACTTTAATATTTATTAAATATATAACATTAATATTATATTAATGAATTATTTTTTAGGCTTTGATTTTAATTTCTTCTCCACTAAATTTCTTTTTAATTTTTTGACTTCTGTGCTAACCAGGTTATTTCTCTAAATGAAATATATAAATTTATTATAGAATATTAATTACAAGTCTTTTTGCTTCCTTTAATTTAAATCTTTCATAATCATTCAATTCCATTCTCTAAAATAAGATTATAAATATTTGTAATCATAAACTTATATTCAGTTATAAATATCTTCATATAATCAGACGGCATTTCCTATCATTATTGGTTCATCATAATAAATTATTTATACTTTTGTTCCCGCTTCTCTATTTTTTGCCCATGTTGATTCTTTCCATTTTTGAGTGATTTCATCTTTATGCCATTGTTCTTTTACTATCTTACTACGAGCAGAATGACCTATTTTTATCATTAATTTAGTTAATTGAAGTTTTTTAAAATTCATAGGCATGCGAGGCACTTCAGAACATGGACCATCTATTAAAGCCTAAAATAAGAATAAACTTGATTAATAATTTTAAACATTACTCTATTTTGGTCTATGACATCAACAATGCAGCAAATTTTCCCTTGATATTTTCCTTCACTTATAAAAGCTACTCTACCAACCTGTACAAACTTTTCATAAAGCTATAAAAACTATGAATGGCAATAAATGTAAGAACTTAATTTTACCATTGCTTTTAAAAACTAAATTTCCTGTTTTTGAAAACTAAACATCTTTTTAAAATTAACAAATTTGATTTTATTATTTTTATTAACATTTATTATATTAATTAATGGATCTTAAACAGTATTTGTGACCTTTTATAACTACAATACTTTTAATTTAGATAATTATATATGAATTCTATAAATGTTAATTCATAAGCACGCTTTAAAATAAAAAATCTTAATAATATTTTTCCAAATAGTTATTATTTTATTAGTGATGCTTATATTTATTATATGAAAGTAAATACTAATTTGATAAACAAGAACAACAAAATTTTATATAAAAACCAGTTTAAAAACGTAAAAATGTTAAAAATTTTAATGAGGAAGAAATTTTAAAATGGCATAAAATTTGGGAGAGTTTTATGGGAGGGAATTCCCTGAGAGTTGACTTATAAAAAGGAGCTTCTCGCTGATTGGATGAGACTTAGCAACTCTACCATTTATCTAACCATTTAATCTAACTATCAAGCCTACCTTGCACTGCTCAACATTCATAGCAGTAATCACTTTAATTTTTTTACTCTGCATAAGATCAACTATAAAATTAATTTCAGAAAAACAGCATTGAAGAAAATATTGTCCAACCTTATTTGAACTCAATGAGAAAATAGGGGCAGAAGGAAAATATAATTAACTCTACCACTTAAAGTATCAACAAGTTACTCTTTATCTTGTCTTTCTTTAGATTAAGTAAAATATTCCTGATGTTTAATTTAAATATAGTGCATGAAATATATTGTTGTGAATGATGATATTTCGGTATTGTAAGAATATGTCATTGCTAGTGTCAGATTCATATTTTTAATATATAGATCACATAGTCATATAATCTAATTTTGGAGAGATAATTTTATAATCAAGATTTTTGTTATTTTTTTTTTGGCGTATAATAAATATAAAACTCACGAATTGATTTTATAATATTCGCTACTTAATTTATTTGGAGATGAACGAGCAAGAATCAATCGTCAACAATAACAAAAATTAAGTTAACCTGTAGATTAATAAATTATATGAATAGAAAAAAGGGATAAAAAGAAACAATAAATAAAAAAATGGGAAAATTTATTTTGTTACTTGCTATTACTAATGTTTAAAGGGTTTCAATTATTCGAACTCAAGATTTTCGCCAAAAGCAGTGTTCTACATGACAGGATATTCATTGGGTGGAAATACCTTTTAAAAATCTATATCTACCCGCCCCCCTCTAAATCTCCGCACCCTTCGACGCAGATATATCTACATTATTGACGCCTTTTTAATGATAATTGTACTGACTTCACAACTTATAAAAGGAACTTAAATGATTACTGTTCTACTGCCAACTATCAAAATATTGTGCAAGTAAAACTTATTTTTTATAACATTAATTCAATTACAAACTCCCCATTTACAATGAATGCATTATTATACAGTGTTTTACCAGGGGCGTCGCTAGTCTTCACAATCTCAGGGGGCTCAACTAAAAAAAATTTATGGGGGCTTCGCTCCCCATACCACCAAATTGCGGGCATTCGACCCACTTATACCCGGCCTTCGGCTGGGTTTTAATATATTATACTTTTTTAAAATTTGTTAACTCTGAACAATTATTCTGATTTTCATATTTTGTCATTTATATGCATAAGAAATAAACTGGCATATAAAAAATCACATAATGCAATAATATAATTCTTAGCAACTTACATTGGCAAAAGGTTATCAAACTAATATAATTCTCTGTAACCATTTTAGACAATGTTTTATTGAATGGACTAATAAGGAAAAATTTATAGACTAAACCAAATCAACAAGTTTTGTAGGAGAGAGTATAAACGACCAATCTAAATCATAAAACTATATGGTGGTTAGAGCTTATTCTTAGATGACATTAGGGAAGCTAGATAAGTAATCAATAAAATTATTGTGAGATATTAAATGTATAAAAGATTATCTTCCATTTTAAATGATATATAAACTACTACACAGTTGACCATTATTATTTATCTAAAATATGCAATTATATGCTCTCAATGTTATAGTAATAATATAAAATTACATAGCAACACAAATAGATGCTTAATTTAGAGTAATAGCCATGACATTTCACGGTGTAAACTAATATCAGAATTTATTATGTTGGATAAATTGATAAAATAAAAACACTAAAATCTTTGGAAGAAATAATTATGCAAATATATTGAAGCCTGGAGTTATTTACACGGCAATGCCATATTAGAAATGAAACATTTTCTAACGATAAAATAAGTACCAGAATGATATGATGACTTAAGATTTTATATATTGTCGCACCACCTTGGTATATTGCATCTTAATTTTTTTTTTAAATTAAAATAACTATATAAAAATATGTAAAAATTTATAAAATGATTAAATAAAAAAATATATTTATAAGAATTCTACGAATTCTCCGATTTGTGATATAATTTAAAATTGACCAAAAATATTTAATTTTTATCTTTATTTTTATTATAACATTTAAATTTTAAAAAACTATCATATAACAAAAAAACATAACAATATATACAAAAAATAATTTATCGTTATAAATCATTTTTTTTTAAACTTTTTTACCTTTTAAATTGATCTTTACTTTTACATTTAAATCGATTTTACTTTTACATAAAATATTTCATTATCACCTCGAGTGATTTTATTTAAATTATTTCCACAATATAACATTTCCTTCTCTTTTAGTTTCCCCCTTCATCGTACCCATCATTCGTATCGTATATTGAGGTAATCCCTAAGTTCTTTATTTATTCCAAGTCCATGTACCTTTTACTTCTAACATCAAATTTAACTAAAAAATTATATTTTATTTTATATAGTTTATTTATAATCAATGAATCTCTTCGGTCTCAAATTGTATTGTCGACTTGGCTCTTGAATACTTATTTTATTTCGATCTCGTATCTGGCTTTGAACTTGAACTTGATCTCGTACTTTTATCTTGATTTTGATTTTGCTCCTGACCTCTTCCCCCTCTAAAAACTCGTTCACTCGTCGTATAATCATTACTTGTCGATCTTATTTTTATTTGATCCTTTGTTGTTGTTTAGCCTCAGTCATATCTTTTCATTAATTTTAGCTTGTTATCCTTATCATCTAATCATTCGCTTGAACATCATCTTCACACTAGCTTGTTCATCTCATTATTCATTATCATTTTTATCAATGTTTGTAAATATGTATTATGATCAATAAATCTCAAATAAAATAATTTTGGAATAATTGAAATGATAATGGAATAAATAATTTATCATGAGAATAAGAATCATGGAATATAGAATAATAGAATATTTGGAATTGTTTCATTTTATATTATAATTTTTTATTTATTATTAAATTATTTTTATTTTTAAATTTTACTCCTTTATTTTTCAATTTATACACTTTTTTTATATCATAATTTCTCTTCAACTTGTTCTTTATAAAAAAATTTCTCCTTCTCCTTCCATCATACGATCTCCATTTCGTACTCCTAATCTCTCTTTCAATATTATGATATTTAATCATCTTTGTTTTAATTTTCATTTTCAAAGTTTTTTTAAATTTTTTATTAATTATAAAATTTTTTATTTTATTATTTTCTTCAATTTTTATTTCATTATTGTTTTTAATAACTATTATTTCTTCAATTGTTATCAAATGATTTATTTCTTCTAATTTATAAGAATTTATTTCTTTTTTAACATTTAATTTACACAATTCAATTTTATTCAAGTTTTTATTATTATGTTATAATTATAATTTTCATGCTTTTTATTGTAATATGTACCTTCATAATTTTTATTATCTACTTCTCTATTTTCCTCGATTATTTTTACAATTTTATTAAGTATGTTCCCAAAAACTTTTATCCATGTCCTTCCCAGAATTGCAATTTTGTCATTTTGGACTACAAAAGCATCTAAGTTTTGAGTTTTGTCTTCATATCTCACTTTTATTTTAACGATTCCTAGCAGCTCTATTCTTCTCCCATCATAGCCAGTCAGTTTCGTATCCGATTTATTCAAGACTTTGATTCCTATCTTTCTAGCAATATTAATCGGCAATATCGAAAATTGTGACCCGGTGTTGATCTGCATGTCTACCGGTATATCGTTAAGGTATATTGTAACTTTGTAATCATCATTTTCCTTGTCATCATCATCCATTCTATTTACGTCAAATCTGTTCTTGTATGACTGATTATTGTTCTGATTATCATTGTATCTAGGTATGTATCTCGATTCGTTCTGATGTCTATAATATCTATAATTATTTTCATTATATTTGTAATTATCATTATTATTATATCTATAGTTATCGTAGTTATAATTATTTTTATTGTTAAATCTTGTAAAATTATTATACGGTCTCGATCCATTATACCCCCTATCATCATCATAAACTCTAGGATTATAATTGTTTCTATATCTTGGTTCATAATTATTTGTATGTCTCAAATCTTCATAATTATCGTATCTCGGTTTCCACTGATATCTGTGTACGTGCGACTTCATCCCTTTATCGTGTTCATCATATTTCATCATCCTTAAATTTTTTACTAAATAATCTTCTAATTAATCAATTAATTTTGTTTTATCAATATTGTCTTATTTTAAATATTTTAACATTAAAATTTTATTATATTTTTATTCAATTTTATATTTTAATCATCTCTTACGTTTTTTAGAATAATATTAAAATCATTTTCCATAATCCTCTTTCGTCTAGCTTCACCATGTTTCAGTATAATCTGTAGCGTCTTAATTCTCTGCCACCATATAAGAATTCTACGAATTCTCCGATTTGTGATATAATTTAAAATTGACCAAAAATATTTAATTTTTATCTTTATTTTTATTATAACATTTAAATTTTAAAAAACTATCATATAACAAAAAAACATAACAATATATACAAAAAATAATTTATCGTTATAAATCATTTTTTTTTTAACTTTTTTACCTTTTAAATTGATCTTTACTTTTACATTTAAATCGATTTTACTTTTACATAAAATATTT